CTTCTTTCGTTGACTGTTTGGTGTCTACTCGTAAGCATTTTCTCCTCTATTCAGCAGCTTCGGCGAGGCTTTATCCCCGCGAATTTCAACTCCGTGAACGCGTGAGCGAGTTTACGATTGTCCGCCCGTAAAATACACAAAGGCTTCGTAGCAAGAAATTCTTCTCATCTTCAGCCAGCTGGCATTCATGAGCGGACAGCGCTTTGAAGAAAGCTGACGTCTCGATACATAGTGTCTTAAATAATATTTTGTAAATAGCTCTATATATACATATATATACATAAACTTTACCTGAAGAGAAATTTACAAAAAAACCTATAATCTTTTCGCAATTCTAAATTTATTATCGCGTCAGCCTTTGAAACGAGCCTTCTTATCGTTAATAAAAGGAAACGTTTTGTTACTCGTTACTGGTAAAGCTTTCCCGACTCGATAGGAACGCGTCCATTCCATTGACGAATAATGTCGTCGATGACCGTCTTTTCGAGGAGTGCACTCGAAAAATATACGTAAGGATCGGACAAAGAGCAAGCTCGACAATGTAGTGTTCTGGTAGGTGCTTGCTGGCGGAGACTCAAGCTCAGACTATCACGGTGGCCAAGCGAGCCGAAACAGGTGGAAAATTTCCGGTGCGATATCCTGAAGAGTACCACGAAGAGCTATCGTGCGATTATCGATGATGGTGGAAGGCACGTTGCCAGAACGCGATTGGTTAGTCCGGCACGCGTCTCCGCTCGGCTCGTGCTTTGCTGCTACGTGGCGTTCATCATTTCGTTAAATTTTTATTTTTTTTTCGAAAACGGAATAAGGAAGAAAGAAATTTTTTGAGAAATGCCAGGCGTGAAATGACGAATTTCGGGCTGGTACCCGATCTTAGGCTGCCAATGTCTAAGTCGTCGTTGCAACGTAAGAGAGGCAAATGTTGCTTAGCCAGTTATTAATGCATCTCTACGGGGTATCATTGCGACGTACGAAACTTATGACGACGAATACGGCAAAGTGGGAAAAGTCTTGATTTCGATATCTGCATCTCGAAGAGCAAAACGACGATAAGAAATTCTCGGAGAAATTGGAAACTTGTTCCCGGGAGGGTAAAAGCTTCGTTGAAAAAATTAAATATAGTCACGACGAGTAGTTAAATAAATAGATTCGTAGATAAATAAGCGAACAAATAGATGGAAGTAGAGCGGCTACCGATCGCCCGGGAGACGTATAGTAAGTAGAGTTCTCAAATGTAAGAGAGTTAAGATCAGGTTAGAGAAACGTTTTAGAAGCTTGAGAAGAACTTGAATTAAAAATAGAGAGTAGCAGCGTGATCGTTCTTTGAGAGATGTAGACTAATAGTCATACTAGTAATCGCGCGACGGACTTGAAGAAGCATGAATCAAACGACCGTCAGCTCAAGCTGACCTAAGAAGAACCGAGGCAAAAAGTGGCGTATTCCACGCCACAAATTGGAGAGAGGAAGTCTTTAATTTTAAAGGATATATTGGATCTGAACTTAGAAGAAATCTTTGGAGAGTTGCCAGTGGCGAATGCAAAAAATCGTTTTATGTTTGTTGCAAGAAAGATATTTAGAGAGTATCGTCAAAATTTTAACGAACATTTGAGCGGTGTCGTAAATTTCAATTTCGTAAATGCCGAACCGGCAAAAAAATATATATATATATATATTTCATTCAATCGAAGAACCTCATCTTTCGTCGAAAAAATTATTTGCGATAATAGAATCGATGCGGCTTGAATCGTGGATATTAGATTTATTGTAGCTCTAGATCCGAAGAGAGAGCGAAGATCTCTAGACATATCGAGTAAAGGTCGATTCGGCAAAGCCGAGAGCAGAGCGTACCGCCGACGCTTCGAATAAGATCGACGCTGACTCTTTCGCTACCCTGAAGAAAGATTCCACCGTCAAGCATGGCCTCGGTGGCAGCGTGGTTGCCATTTGCCCGGGCGGCGGCGATCGGCTGGGTGCCGATTGCCACACATCCACTGCCACCGCCGCCGATCCCCAAGGATCGGCGCAAGGCCGATGACGAAAAACTGCTGATCAATGTGAGCGGCCGTCGCTTCGAGACGTGGCGTAATACCCTGGAGAAGTATCCGGATACGTTGCTCGGCTCGAACGAGCGCGAGTTCTTCTACGACGAAGATAGCAAGGAATACTTCTTTGACCGAGATCCGGATATCTTCCGGCATATTCTCAACTATTATAGAACCGGCAAGTTGCACTACCCGAAGCACGAATGCCTGACGAGCTATGATGAGGAGTTGGCGTTCTTCGGCATTCTGCCAGACGTCATCGGTGACTGCTGCTACGAGGACTATCGGGATCGGAAGCGCGAGAATGCCG